AGATAAGAAAAACACGCGTTAACGATAAAAACGACAAAAAAAAAACGTTGGTTTTGAAACCTTTAACACGTTTTTTGGTCGTTAAAAACACAAAAAAAAGCGGTTTTTTGTCAATTTTTTTATCCCTTGATCAGTACATTAAAATGATTAAGGGAAATTTACCCGAAAGCGGTAATCTCGAAAATAATTTGCTCGAATGGGAAGGAACCTCCTTGAGTTGTCCAAACAGAAATGATCAATATTATTTGCAGCGTAAAGAACAAGAGAAATATTAAAGATGAACATAAAAAATTACTTCAGCTACAGATAAATACCAACAAGACAATTGAACCTATCTCAGTTATCTATCAATCAAACTGCTTTATTTGAAACATAAAATATATAAATGAATACTACGAGCTATAGTAGCTATTTGTTGTCAAAGTGAGTTTTAAAATGAGTTATTGTCTTACTTCCTATTATAAACCGATGCAAACATATATAGCCGAAAATTTGAGGGGCTTCTATACGCTGCAAATAATATTGATAATTTCTGGTTAGACAATTCGTGGAGGTTTCCATTCGATGAAATTCTGTTCGAGCAAACTTCCTTCGAGGAAATTACTTTCGGGATTATCGCTTTGAAGAAATTTCTTTCAAGCAAATGTCACAAACTCCATTAAAGCCTAGTATTGTTTCAAAATCGCGCTCTGCATTCAAACTGATGTGTTTGATTCGACTGGGTACTCGTCAGTATATGTTTTGACGTGAGTCTTGAGCATTAGTTCGAAAAGAGAAAGGTTCTTCTTTAGCACACTTCTTAAGGAGTCATATTCAATTTAAAATGGAGAGTTTATTATCTCTTGAAAGTATCGACGTTGTATTCTACCAAAATGAGGAAAACTGTTCAGGATAGCCACTAAAGTTCTTCGACTTGCACTTGGGAATATCGAAGTCAAACGAAAAATAACTCTATAGTGCACATGTTTGTCTTGCCTGAAAAATATCGTTTGGCGTAGCTTCCCGTTTTTAAAAGCTCATCTTAAAAGCATGAAAGACTATCTTTTTAGTAAAATGTTATATGCTATCAAACTATATGCACCTTTAGCTCGAGGGTAAATCCATGTGAAGCATATGGTTTACAACGTTTCTGCGCAAGCAGAGAGATTCGTCTCATTTTGTAGAGCTCGACGAGCTGATTCTCTTGGTGAATACATCATATCTCCTTAACTTTACATGTGCAGGATATATAGTTCTTGAAACTCTCTTTTATTTGAGATCATTTCCAAAAAATTCTGTTCGGGAGGAGACTCAGGAGATGCTTTAAGAAAACTGGCAAAACCCAAGAAAAAGTTGGATGAAAATAGCTGAAAAATGGCCTTTTTTGTTGAGAGAATAAAGTGCCTAGAGCTTTTTTGCTAGGCTTTGTGGATAACTTTATAAATCTAATACGAGAAAGCAAGTTGTTAGGAGCTGAAATGATTGGATGTTCTTGATAAGTTAGTGAGTACTATTAATTGACAGAAATGCAGTGATTTTTGTACGTGCCAGTCTCTCGTTTAATTCAGAGAATGATTTTCTTTTCAGGATCATAATGTATCGTCATTTTGTTAATCATCCCGTTCATCGTCATGTTCGATATCATCATAAGAATGCTAAAACTGACAGCACAACTTCGACAGAAACAAGCTATTATCAATTTGGGAGATCAGTTTGTAAGTGCTTTCTTTTCTTCGTTTTCGCTCATACTGTTCAAAAATATCTTTAAAATGCACGTTAAATACTATTACTACGGTCCGATTTCAACTGGTACACCAGCACAAATGTTCTTCGTCGATTTTGATACAGCTTCAGGTGATCTATATGTACCATCAGTGAAACGTAAAAAATCACCATATTACCGTGAGTCAACGTCGCCTTTTCTTCTTCTTCTGAAAGAAAGCAAAGATGAAAATTGTTTTATTTCTTTGTTTTCGGCAGTCAGGTGTCTCTACTCGTCACAAATATAACAATTTATATAAGCAATTAACTATATTCTTTATAACAGATATCAAAACAAAAGGAATATTCGCAATAGAATATTATTATTTTGGAATTAACTTGGGTTAGTATGTTTAATACTTCTAACGAGAAAACCTATGGAAGTGATCCCTTCTGATTCCAATGATTTATACGTCGATCGATAGAGTATATCAGGGTAATAAAAAGCCAAAAAGGATTGCGGCTGATGACTCATTCTTCAAAAGTTAAGCGATTTTTTCCAGCGAAAATAGCAAAAATAGAAAAATTTAGTAGACATTTTAAAAAAATTGTGAGAACAAGGCTATGCATCTCTATCCTTATATACATGTTTACCAAGATTATCATACTGATGATTATTTCAGTTCCAAATACGTAATTCCGTTGAGTATTGTGATTAACGTTCTACTTTCCCAGCATTCCCTATTATTTGACACCTTGAGTTCTTGTGCATTTCTCGCTCCTAGTCTGAAGTTTAATTAATTGTTCCCTTATTGGTCACTGTTTGTTTCGTTAGAAAAATTTTTGGGATATAGCAATGACTATTCGTTTACTCATTTCTTTTCACCCAAATAATCAGCGGAAAGTAAATCCCTATACAAGAACGTGGCTAATTGGAATATAGTTTTTGTGTAATCACGTAAAGTAAATCCTCTTCAGCAAAAATTATACTTTTTCGTGAAAAAAACTAATTTAAATAGAAATTAATCAATGCAAAGTAAATCCGCGGAAAGTAAGTCGTGTACTCGGATCTACATCGAACTTAAAGTTCAATGACTGAGGCAGATATTTTTGACAAGGAAAAAATATCTCTAATTAATTTTCAAATTCTTACAATTCAACTTCTGCATTTATAGGTCAAAATAGTAGAAAAAGTTTTAAAAGTGCTATGGGCATATTCATTAAATTCTTAATCGAACTCTCCCGTGCCATGTTTTCTCGTTTTCCGAAGTTCCCTCCTTTCTCTAAGTCTGTATACATTTGATCAAAATTCGAAATAACTGTCGATTCCACATTTCCACAAGCGAATTCTACACGATAGTATCAATTACTGTATTTCACTTATAGTTGGTTTCTATTAAAATATCAAGATTAGTTGCATTTGTTTCACCAAATGTCATAAATGATTTTGCATAAGTCAAACAGTTTTGATAATAAACACATTCAAGACTTGTTCGTAATAATGTGTTATAATGTAACATCACACGTAGAAATCTCGAGTCGGAATCAAAATCGTTTATACCGATCTCAGAGTCACTGAACAGAAGCATGTACTATTCGAAATAGGATGACAAGTATCAAATGTTTGAGCATGCAAAGAGCAACTTTCTTTTCGTTTAATAAACTAAAATTTGTTTCAAATATGTTGAATTGATAATGTGTATTCAAACCTTACGTTAATTGATTGCCTGAAGTGGTACTACGAATCGGATTTGATGATGACTATATTTGGTATGATTATAAATGGGTATCAATTTTTTTTATCATCAAAAAGATTTATCGCTAACTTGATACAAGTTGAATAAAATTGCTAATCCAACAGATTGTTACCACACTAGAAAATTTTTGAATGTAAGTCACCAACGAAAACGATAAATATATGACACATTGAATGCATTTCTGGTGTGCTAACAATCCTGTTGGCTTGTTGTATCATTAGAATCATGTCGCTATCCGGTTGGTATGAAAGTATATTCGTGTAAACATTCTGATGGATTAGCGATTTTGTTTAACTTGTATCGAGTTAGCGATAAAACACGTATTCAACCATTGGGTAAACGAAAAGCGAAAGGCGTCTCAAAAAAATTAGCACAGCTTTAAATTTGTATATAGATATAATTATAACTGTAAACTATTGTTTATCTGGTTAATATTTCAATAAATATGTTTGTGTTGTACATTATACTTTGTAGAGAAATAAAAATGTGAGATTCATACTGAAAAATTTGATGATCATAAGTATCCTTTTTTGGTGATCATGTGTATCTAAAACGTTTTGGTGATCAAAAGTACATTTACTCAATATAAATAGATGGATAAATAACCATTGTGCAGTTAGATGAAATGTTTTATTCGATAAAGTATTCGGACTAATAAAATCACTCGAGTAGAACATGCTGCGCGCACCATTAATCATCTTAGAACGCACGGTTTTAGTCAAAGGCTGACGAGGGAACCGTTCTAATTGATTCAACCCAATTTAAGCAAAACATACTTTTCATGGGTTATTTTTGATGCTGATTACGAATCTGATATTCATTTCGGTCCATGTGACTTTCTAGTATGGACCTTGAGCAATCAGATGTCTGGAGATCCACCCCAGATAGTTAAACGAAGAGATTCGGATACGACCAGTTTGTAGAGCAAGTAAAGTTACACAGGTACACAAGTTTCCAGACATACCAAACACGTTCTCTCAGAGATGCAAAATGTTTACCTTCATCGCTCGTGGAAATTATAGATATGGTTGTTTTTCTTACACTAAAAATTTTATATCTCTAAGAGAACTTGTTTGGTATTTCTGGAAACTTGTGTATCTGTGTAACTTGACTTGCTTTACAAACTGGCCATATCCGAATCTCTTCGTTCAACTATTCAGGGTGGATCTCTCTAGATCTGATTGCTCAAGATCCATACTAGAAAGTCATATGGACCGAAATGAATATCAGATTCGTAATCGGCATCAAAAATAACCCATGAAAAGTATGTTTCGATTAAATTGGGTTGAATCACTTGGAACGGTTTCCTCGTGAGGGAATTACAAATGAATGTTACTTGGTTGATATTCAAAATTTAGACATCTGCAAAAGACTGTGATGCTACAGTGAATTTAATGAACGATATCACAATAAATAGTATCACACTTTGTGCCTTTTTAGAGTGAACAAAACAGTTTTGCAAAACAAAGAATAAATCATTTTTTCGCCAATTTTCGATGCTACCCGGACGGATAAATAATTATAAACACTGAATCTTCTAAGCTACAAATATATGTAGTCGTATTATTTAAACACCCATGTATTCACCATATTATGCTCCCCTTCTAACACTATTTTATAGAATTTTGATGGATAAACTTTAATATTTATGAGTGCCATTTCTTTCTTTATCGGTATTGTCCCGACCAACTGATAATCATCTGTCATACCATTTTTAAATAAATTTGTCGTTGAAAGCCATATTTTAACATTTCCGGCATAGTCTAAAACTTTCCAGGTAATATTTAAAATATCACCATTCAAATTCGCTTGAGGTTTAATTAAGGATATTTGTCCTATCAGTGGTACCCCATCGAGTTCTTTTGCAGATTCAACTGGTATGGTGAAATTCATAAATCTTGCAATAGTGGGCAATATATCTACTATGGCTGGTTGATAATGGTGAAAATAAACATTTGTATTTGGAGTATTGGTCACTATCCAAGTTGTTCGTTCTCTGACAGACTGACCGCCATGGTCTTTGCCTTCTATAGGATCCCTACCATGATCTGTTGTAATGATGATTAGCCAATCTTCTTCATAATGCGTCATTCGATAAACTATGGCTTCCCAAATTTGTCCCATTTGATCATCAAGATAAGTGACTGCTTGTCTTTGTTGTTCACTATCGCCAAAGAGATGTCCTACATCATCTGTATATTGTAAATAGACCCATGAAAGATCAGGTGCATTGGTTTTGACGCATCTTGACGCTTCATCGATCACACGTTTATCAATATTGTGGATATAGAGTTGTTCGGTATCGTGTGGGTAAGCAACTTGATCTAACTCATATCCATCAAATTTAAAGTCAAACTGAACACTACCTGCCTCCAGCAATCCTTCGCCAATGAGTTTGACACGGTTATCAATCCAAGTTGAAAAAATGGCAATCATTTTATCAGATTGTTCTTCTTTAAGTAGTCGAAAAATATTTTTATAATAGTAATTAGGATATCTGATGCTATTATCAGATACATTATGTTTATTATACCAGGTACCCGTCAGCAGACTCATATAACAAGGTGCCGAAATCGTGAACGTTTCGGTATAAGTTCCATTGTCACCTCCAACATAGGCTCTAGTATACTGTCCATATTCTTGAATCTTTTTAATATTGGGAATCGCCGTCTGTTCTATGACATCTGCAGGAATACCATCAGCAATAACAAACAAAACTTTTTTAGCAGGTTGCTGAGTAACAATTCCAGTAGTCCGGTGTAAAACTATAACGAGAAAACGATACTTTTTCATGTGTTGGGAATTCTTTTAGCAAAACTTTTGCTTCATGATCGGTATTATGAATCCTATCACTTTTGACTAGAGTCGTCGTTTAAGTTTGGCTGATAATTTCTTATCAGCAAGCATAGCTAACAAACCAACAGTGTGATCAAGAATTATCATATTAACTGTATTTAATGAATCAACCACATGTACGTTTCATACACAAACAATTGTGTAGCAAATTTACAAATGGGTTCATGTAGATAAGACATTATTTTTCGTATATTGCACTGTGTCAACGTATGAAATTTGGAGAAAACATAGGAGAAAAGTGAAAACGCACTTGGCTTCTGAATTATTGATGTGAAACGTTTAGAATATTTCTCAGGAGTGAAAATAGTGTATGCTGCATTTGAGAATTTAAGCAAGCATACATATGCATCAGTCGAATCGACTGTCAGTAAAAGGGTACCGGATACATGGTACCGTTTAATTGTATTTCACAGACGTACTCTCGATAAAGAATTTGATTAGTACAACTCACTTGAAAAATTCGTCTGAGTCAAGTAAGAACCTACACTAGAGCGGCAAACGTTCAGCGTGTTTTTTTAGCGTTTTCTTTGAACGTGAACGCTAAACATGACGTTCTTTGAGCGTGGATGCGAGTGTTCTGGTTAACACAAAATTTATTTTATTTGAACGGTGTTGATCTTGTGTGGAATGAATAGTATTGCAAAACGTTGTACAGCAATTTCAGCTAATAGTGTACCAACTGAAACAGCTTTCTTCATTACCGGTTATATTTAGTGAAAAATCAGCGCTCATTTGCTCCCAAATAGGTTATTTAACAACGGAGAAAGTATGTAGTTACGGAAGTGGTTTAGGCCAAGGAACTTCGGTTCCACTGTCGGAAAAACTACTCTCTTGGTCAGTAAATCGGCGATCTGTTCTTGGAAGAATCAATGCCCTGATCAGAAAATCAATGGCTCCGCTTTACATTACAATAATCTGGTCACTGCCCTTATCAAGGAGAAATATATATGTCCTTACTACAGTAGAAGAACAGAACTTTATATTTAGTTCCGACAATATGAACACCGTTCGTATATAAAAAGCTCACGTTCACCAGTGTTTTTTAGTGTTCACGTTCAAGAAACGCCAACGTGAACTTTTACAGGCCTAACCTACACTTAGTTGATTCAATTAATACGTGCATAACTCATTCATATAAGATACCTACTTGATAAAGTTTGAAGATCTGACAGTTGAGTTAGAATGTTTCGAGCTTCTTCTTCTTGTTCTTGCTTTTTTATTCTTGTTTTGATAATTTTGATTAGTAATATCCCAACGATAGCAACTATGATTAGGACCATACTCATTAGGACACAAATTTCAATAGTCTTTTTCTTTCTCGTGAATATTGAACCATATCTTCTTTTATCTTCTGAATGATCTTCGAGTTTTTGGACTATTGTACCATTAACCGTTAATGGGAGAAAATGATTACCATTTTCCGCGAATACTTTATCCAGAGTTTTTTCTAAAAAGAAAATCATAGTGATGCTGTAATCAATGTAAATATGGAGTTTTTGTGTCTTCGAACCTTTTTCTGCATCAAATAAACTAGTGAAGACGTTATTAATATAATAAAATTATTGTGTAAAATCGTTTCATGAAAAGTGTATAAGATTTTTATTCTGAGAAAGTGTTTTTCACAGTGAGACAAGTGTTTTATAAAAACTTCCGTACGGTTACAGTTTAATCCCTTGAGCAATATGATAGTATACATATATTATCAACAACCTCACTCCTCAGAGAGGTAAATAAAGAAAAAAGCTTATCAGGTAACTTTGATGTCTAGTAATCTCGGAAGTGAAGTGAGCATAGGTTTTCAACTATTCTAAATCTCGGGCAATGTTTGTTTTGTAGAAAAACCTTCAAAAACCTAGTGGAAACCTATACTATGTTAACTCATGTATTTTTCACTATTTTCACCGTAAATTAAAAAATTCAGAATTCACTCGAAATTGATCTAGACCAGTTCACAATATCAAGATATACCCTATTTTATCTGCACGACACCTTGGTGCTCACTGGTAGTTTTAAAAATCAACGGAAAATACTTTCGTTTTTGCAGGGTCTTCTGAAAAACTTTTCAACTAAGAGAATGCTTTTTTACCAATCTTAGGTACAGACCAGATTGAGAATATACAATAGGGTATTTTCCATAGGTGTATTTTCTGCATATTTTGAAACTATTGGTTGCTATGGAAATCAGAAAACGCCACCGTTGCCTACGGAAGAGCCATCAGGTACTCCACCTGCAGACGGGATTTTGGACCTAGTATTTTTAGCAATAGATTTCCCCCAGTGTCTTCTATAAACTGGCGAAAACTGCATCTCTTTATCGTTTGTGTATCAAACGTTATTGTGAAAAGAATTTTCCGCATTATACTTCTTAATGGATAATAGTTTCAGAATATATATGATTTGGTTAGAAACAGTTCGCACAAGCCGTAAAATATATTATTCCTCAGTTTATCCTACATTTTTCGAGCTAATTTTCATGCTTCCTTTTTTTCAGTTAAACACGATAGCTGGCATGATAGTTTATATACCATTAAATAGGCCGTTAATCGAAAGCATGTTTGACACTCTTCAGAACTTTAAAGAGCGCACTTTCGTTTTTCCACCTAATGTCTACATGGTTACCCGCTGTGAAGAAGAGCAATTCTTTTTACTTCATTCTAACCAGCATACCTATGCAAAAAAATGAACGAAGACAGGAAAAATCGTTAGAGGGGGTCTAAATAAAATATATTAAAATATAGTTACTTGATGATTTTTTGAAAATTCGATCTTTACTGTGCACATCTAAAGATATAAATTGGCAGGGTCATTGAACAAAACATTTTTTTTGAGTTACCAGCTTTCTCATGAAACAATGAAGTCGAAGCTGCCGTAACAAACATTCTGAAGAATACTAAAAAGATTGAAAGATACAATAAAATTATCCGATTTCCACATCTCGTAGTAGCATTTGATGAGATGTGCGAGCTCAAACTATGGACATAGTACTTAACAGTGAACAGCTTAAAGAATCCCACAAGATGACTAATGTTGTTCTGGTGACTCGCACGTTATGCTTGACCCGTTGCGAAATGCGGATTCTATATAAATCTGGATTACGATGAGTTTGTGGATACTGGAAATTGCGTAGATTTCTTCTCCTTTCGGATTCATCCTTAATTTTTACTTGATTACATCTCACTTTTCGTAATCCGCTCCTCGTACTTGAGAGTAACGCAGAACAACAGCAGCCTACCATCCTAGGACACAATAGAATGACGGTATAAAGCTCCCTAAAGAGTCTTCATTTCCGGTAGCTCGTTAAACTTAAAAGTCGTATATCCTTGTTTATGCTAGATTAAAAAAATTTCTTCATTCATTCTTTATTAGAGACCGCTCACTATCGGTGTGAACTATATAGTCACATTAAATGTGACTGCAAAAAATGTGAAAATAGGCAGAAGTATTGAATCGTATCCAAAGAGAGTTTTTTTGCCATAGTAATCGTCTGACGAGAACCGAAGAAGTTTCAGGCTTTTAACTTTTTCCTTTCGCCAGTTATCAAACTTTTACCAGCTTAAAAAACATATACAGTAGTGTTTCCAGCTGAACTACATTTTGTATGATGTATGGTGCAGGCAAACAAAAAAATTTCATAACTTTTAAAAAACACAATATGATCAGAAATCCTTTTAAGCTTTTTACTAGGACACTATCCTCTATCTACAGCACAAGATCATTGAAACCGAAGGTTATCACCTATAAATGTTTCCTGTTCTGTAATCGACGTAGCCAGCTAACAGTCCACCTTCGGATGAGAAGGTTCGAATTTTTGTTTTAAACTTAAGCAAAACTTAAAAATACACCATTAGACACAGTTTTTCACGGTGATTACAAATCTGAACTCAAAAACAAATGAAAGTCAAATCCTCGTAGTGAAAATTTAAATTTTTAAATTTTAAATTTAATTTCTAGATATTTTTAATTTCTTAGATATTTTTTCCAAAAATTCTCAGAACTATACGATTGGATGGAGAATCAAAGCCGCTACCAAAGGACTCATTTGTTGTGACGTTCAGATGCCAATTTTTTTTTTTATTTTCTAAAAATCGTTGTGGCGCTTATTGTGAGCAATTTTATGCCCATTAAATTTAACTTTGAAAATTTATTTTTGGCTGCATGAGACGAAGGCCACCTCAAACTATCGATCTATGTACAAAATAGAGTTTGCTAAGTAGTTCTGTGACAGAAAAAATATATACCAAACCATCTATCTGCAAAGAAGAGCAAAAGACGGTGAAATTCCGTAACAGTCACTTTTATTCGATTTTCACTACCAGGGAACTAATTCAAGAAAAAGTCAGTAGTCGTTCTGATAGCTGAAATTGTGAGCTTTAATTTGGTAATTAAGCAATCATTTTAAAATTAATTTAAGACTGAATAATTTACATTTTACTGAAATACGCCGAAAAGCACTTTGATTTTTTGAAATTCCGTAACGGCCTCTATTTTTGATTATAACTTTTGATTCGTTTGTTCAATTAAGCTCAAATTATTTTTGGTAGTGGAACTCCCTAATATCCGTCACCGATATAAACTTCATCGATAAACGTTGCTTCTTTGCCGAGATCAGAGGCACAGAAGACGAAAATATGAAATTCCGTAACATTTGGCCAAGCCGTAATCTCACTTGCATCAGAAATCTTTTTATAGTAAAATCGTAATATAGAGCAAACAATTTCAGAAAAGCTTTCCACAACATTTTCTCATTAGACATAATTGAATTTTCAAATCATCTCTCACTTCTAGCCGTATTAAAATCGACTTTCTAATTCCATCAAGTCCTGGTTCATAATTCATCTGAATTTTCGAACAGTCTCAAACGTATTTTTACTATTTCTCTACCAGTTTTGCTGGATTTGACGCGCACTACAGACTTTTCTGTTTCTGAGGGTTAGGGT